TAAGACTAGATATGTGTGCATTCAGACCCATTTTAATGCAAGAGATGTCATAATAGCAAAGAAAAGGAAGAGCATGGCGAGTTGATCTTTGGTGAACATCAGCTTATAAAGTAGGGAAGAGGGAGGGAAACAGAGAGTGTATTTAAGAGGAACAAAGAAATTGGAAAACTGAGAGTCTAAATTGGACTGATAGGAAGGTTTCAGAGGGAAAAGAAAACTGAATGCCAAGAATTTCAAAGAAGTGTCTGAAAGGAGACAAAAATGGTGATCTAGTGGCCTTGCTTCCAGGTACTTCATTAGCACATTGTTTTTAATTTTTTGAGAACTTCATATATGAACACCGCATTTACATCACTTTTGACCCTCCTTCCTGTCTCTTATTAGCACACTTTCTTTTTCCTTGCCCTACCCAAGGGAGAATATGATGCTAATGAAGTGTTACAGCTTCAGCTGCTATGAGCAGACTACCGTCCTAGCCCACCAATTGAGCTTATTTGGTTGTGTATCCATTATGTCCTAGGTTAAAAGTTGATATAGTGTACCCTTCCCCATCCCCATCCTTCTCTTTTTCATGTTTACTTGTGGGTGTCTCTATGATTGTTGTGCTTTGAATATTTGTCTCCTGCCCTTTCATATATTGAATCTGAATCACCAATATTTGGTGCTTGGTAGCTTATTTGGTCAAACAGGCTTCATCTTCATGAATGGAATCAATTTGGCAGTGGTCCTTAGATGCTTTTTAGGTGATAAAATTTAAGAAAAATTGGTTCATTTTCATTCCTGTCCAGCGTAACTTTATACACTGGATAAATGCCCCTAATACCATTTCTGTGTTTACTGATTTAGAACCATTGTTGAAAACGAGAACCTGCTATAAGGAAGTGAGTAGAAAAGCCATGCTTCTATGTCACAAAGGCTGGATAAAGCACCACAGACCCTCTCAAGCACTCAGAAAATTATAATATTAAATTAATTTTTATCATAAACTATCCTTAAAAGAGATTTTTATTCCCTGTCTTAGTTTCAAGCCACCAAGTTTTCAATAAAGTTTTAATATACAATTGAAAGACAAAATAAACCATTGAATAACTACATTATTCTCAAAACTATAGAACAGGAGTAAGAAATAATAGTGTCACAATTACTATATAATTCTTGAAGCTTTTAACCAAAAGCATGTGATAAAATAGAATTGCATAGTGCTCTTTGTTGTCCTAATAATTTTCTCTGTGTGTGTGTGTGTGTGTGTGTGTGAGAGAGAGAGAGATGGGCTCCCCGAAGGTGAAGCTAGGAGCAGTGTGTAGAAAGCTTAATGGACAAGAAAAAGGTCTCCTTCCCAAGATAGAGGGAACAATCCATATAGAACTGGTGAAGGAAAATGAGAATAGTGGCTACTGGAGTCAGAGCAAAGGAGGCAAATACCAGAGACAATGCCAAAAGAACGCCAAGACAGCTTGGCAATGACTGGCTGAGTAGCAGCTTAGGGAGGAAAAAGCAGGAGCTGAGGCTCACAGGACAGCGGAAATGCCAAGAACCAGAGGGCAGGGGGTTGTGGAAGTGTGGATTCAGGGCATTGTGGAGGTTAGGAGGTGGGACATTGTGGAGGTGTAGGGGTGGGAGGTATTGGGGGGGAATTATGGAGACTGTTGTTTCTAGACATTCAAAATTTGAAATAACAATGGGAAACCAAGCAAGGCTTCCAAAGCAAGTTTTAATTATGCTTGTGGAGATGGAGGGAGAGAGGTGAAGGCCAGAAATACAGTTCTATGAATAGCATCCAAACAGGTCATTGTTAAAGCCAGCAAGAGGTATGCGTTATCAATAAAAAGGGAAACCATGTTGAAATACTTAAAGGAGGCTCAGCAGGTGAGACTGTCTCATTGACTGAATAAAATGCAGAAGAAGCTTATTTAGGGCAAATATCTCAGAGCACATGCAAATAGGCCAAGCTTACCGTATTAGCTCTATTTAGAAGATATTAAAAATGAAAGCTATATATCCTGAGAAATACACCGAGCAGTAAGGTATTGAAAGATTGGAAATGAAGAAAAGGTCATAGAAGCTTTCATTTCCAGGAAAGCATGAAATGGGGGAAGCTGATGCACTTGTACTAATACCAGATGAGCTGAAAAGCAAGGCAGAGACACTGTCAGGAATGAACAAGGTTGATGAATCATGGCAGACAATGAGTCACTTGGAAACAGAGCCAACTGTAAAATCTTATGAGCCTAGGAACACAATCTCAAAACACATTAAGGAAAAATTTGGCAGAATTTCAAGGAGAAATTGATGCAGACTCCCATGGTAGAAGATATTAAATTCTCTTAAAAAATGACACACAGTAAAATAACAAAACTGTACATGTTATGGCTTCAGTGGGTGAAAGCCATGAGAAAAGAAAGGGAAAGAGGAGAGGAAATGGAAGTTTGAGGATGAGAGGAAACCGGTGCCATTGAAGGATTGGCAAAATGGAAAAAAAAAAGGTGGTACCTCACAGATGAAGGGTTATTGTTAAAAAAAAAAAAAACGAAAAGAAGCAAGATCACAGAGGAAGTATGATATGAGGAGATGTTTGACCCATGCTGGGAGACCATTTTAGAGAGAACTCTCTCCTCTAGTACCAGAAACAGAGGAAGAAGCATGGATCGGGATATTTTGGTATCCTAGTGCGATGGAGGGAAAACAAGTGGATACATTTATGGGCCTTGACTTCCCTCAAGGGCAGGTCTCTGTTGTATGAGTCATCAGTGCTCTTGCTGGTCCCATCTAGCAGTGGGCACACATGTAGATTTGACAACACAACTTTAGAATTCACATGTGAGCATGGGCAAAATAGCTGGCAATCCTGGAGAAGCCTGGTTTCTAAGGAGGATATTGTTTTCTTAGAGCATGACAGGTTTTGGATAAGCAGGGGAGAGTTGAATTTCAAGAACTGTGTCAAGCATGTAGACTATAACTCTGTGAGAAAATGACAAGCAGGGATGCCTGACCTACTGCAAACATCAGAACACCCATCTAGGCGTGTTTTCCATCAGGTCACCCTACTCTGAAGCTGATGTTTTACCAAGTAAATACATATTTCTAGTGATGCTCTTTTCTATGTAAGCTATATGACTGTGGTCAGGAAAAAAATGCTGCATTAGCCATAGAGCCAGGTGCATTATCTGAATTGCTCAGATTTGCCTTAGAATATTTTATCCCATGGAGCTTTTAAAGGCAACCGAAGGACAGCTGAAGTATTAGATGGACGAGGAATTTCACTTTGCAGTGTATTTTTTTGTTCTGTATGCCATGTGCTACAGCCTGGTAAGTGAGGACTGCTTCTCACCAAGACCCTTCTAACTGGCTCTTTGGGCTGTATATGGGTGCCTTATGTCTAAGCTAGGCTTTGCCCCAATTTACTCTTCTGACTAGAAAAAAAAGAGAAAATACTACCTTCTCTTCCCCTCATTTGTAAAGCATTTGGTACTGTCCACACTGAGCCTCAGAATTGGAAATTATTTAAATTAAGTATGACTTTATGAATCCTTAACATTTCTCTCCATATGTGGAGAGATGAGCATTTGCTGCTTGCTCAGATATATTTCCTTAGCCTGGAGCTGTGAGTGTGTTACGTTTCTTAACTTGCCTGGAAAGCCACTCAGCCTTTTCCTCAGGGTTCACGATGAAATGACAATTATCCAGCAGAATCCTGAAGGACAGTCTCATAAAGCACCCTGTGAAGTCCGTCCAGTCTCATTTAGTTTTATAACCTCCAGTGGCTCCTAGAAGTTTTTGCTAGAATTACCTTTCTAGAAAATTTCAATGCTACTGAAAAGTCCTGTCATGGTAAGCGTTCATCATGAGCTTCAGCCTCAGGGTCTATACACTATCAGTACTCAGGAGAAAATCTTCCCATGTCTTGTAGAAGGAACAAACATGGTGGTCTCACACCATGGACTCTTAACTGCTTCTTTGGTGCCGTTATACCAGATGGCAGGGTATGCACTTGAGCATACAGATGTTCAGGAATTAGAGGTGTCTCCTGTTTCTCTGTTGTCATCTCAAGCCTGGAAACTTCTGGAAGCCTTGACTGACAAGGGTGTGTGGGTATCTTCCAAAGAGTGTCTTGCTTATCAAGCTAGTTATTCTATCTAAATGTTTGGGTACCTTCATCAGCAGCTCAATTAGCCTTTGAGATTAGTTTGTTTCCTGAGCACCTGATGGGAATCTTTCCAGAGTGGGCAATTCACTCTGTCAGTTTGGATGAAAGAATGTTGAATAAGAATATTTCCCACAGTGACTGTCCATCACTGGCTTAATGTCTCATTTCCTTATTACTCATCAAGTAAGTCTTAGCTTCCTCAAGGGAAAGCCGAAGGGTGCCATTTGTTCTTACTGGGAGAGCTGCAAAGATCACCTGTGTTAACAGACGGGAAGACTTATCTTTCTGCCTGGCATATATTAAAGGCTTCTTAGTGTTCGCTCATGTTGTTCCTCTTCACCCTGCCAGAGAATCTCTGATTACTTACCATCTGTAAGACACTTTGCACTGAAACGTTTAAGCAGCAGCAAGACAGCAGCACAGGAACTTTATTAGCTGTTCCAACACTTCTAAGGGTGCTCAGTCTATTTTCCATTGGTACTACTTAACATCTTAACCTGGATATTGTGTCACGAAAGGCACAGTGACAAGAAACACCCAGTGACTTTTGACCTACAAGCAAAGTGGAAACCCAGACTCGAGAGGATCAACTGAGCATTCCTGGGACGAAACCAGTTTTATAGTCTCCTCAGCTCATTTGATTGTGATAATGTGAAGTATTTGGATAAACTTCAAAGGGAAAAAATGTGGGGAACCCTGCTACATGTACTACACACACTTCATGAAAGCCAACACAGAAAAATCCTCAAGTGCTGGAGCCAGCGGCACTTCAGAAGGGCTGTGAAATGAAGGCTTCGGAGGAGAAAGGGGTGCAGGAGGGTGACGAGTGCCCTGCCACTCCCGGGGGCTGACATACCAGCTCCTTCTTCTTCATGCATTCCATGAGGATGATGAACAGGTGCTGAGCCTGGGTGCGAGTGTACGTGAAGGTCTTCTGTATGGTCACCAATAGCTGGTCCCTCAAAGATTCATTGATAAGTCTGCAACGAAAACCACGGCCAGTCAGGTCAACACAACTCCTGCTCTGTGTGTGTGTGTGTGTGTGTGTGTGTGTGTGTGTGTGTGTAGTTTATCTTAACTTATACATAATTACTCATAGTTAATAGGGTACAGTGTGATGTTTCAGTATATAAGGGACTATGAAATAATAAAATCAAAGTATTTACCACATCAAGCAGTTTATACATTTACCATATCTTCATGGTGATGACAGTCAAAACCCTCCATTCTAGCCATTTCAAAATACCCAGCACAGTATTCTCCACCATAGCCACCCTACACCGAAGCTGGAAATTACAGATTGTAAAAGAACTGAGGAATCATTTTGAATCAGAGTGACTTCTTCCTATGTTTTTTTTTTTTTTTTTTTTTTTTTTTATAAACATCAGCTGTTCCATGTCTTAGAACCTCACAGGACAAAATGGGAAGTAGAACTTAGCTATGTGTTGCCCTTTTTCCTTTTCATGTTTAGTGCCTACCTCTGATTCTGCACGGATATGCCTTTAATTGCTTATCTGCAGCTTGGTAGGAACTTGCTATAATTGTACCGTAATTGTAATGCTATACCATCTTAGACTATGCCTAAAAAAATGAAGGTGGGTGTCTCGTGAGGAGTTATACTCCTGGTTGACATCTGGCTCCCATATACACATCCATGTACACACAGATACATATATGCACAAAACAGGCACCCTACCCCAAGTGGAAATAGAAGTTAGGTTACTACCTTAACAGTTTTTGTTTGTTTGTTTTGTTTTTTTAGAGACAGGGTTTCTCTAGACAGGATTTCTCTGGGTAGCCTTGGCTAGCCTTTGTAGATAGGCTAGCTTTGAACTCACAGAGATCCACATGCCTCTACCTCCCCTATTGCTGGGGTTAAAAGGGTGTGCCATTATGCTCACCTTAAGAGTTTTAAAGGTTTATTTATTTTTATTTTACGTACATTGGTATTTTGCTGCATGTATGTCTGTATGAGAGTGTTGGATCCTCTGGAGCTGGGGTTATAGTTGTGGGCTGCCACATGGGTTCTGGGAGTTGAACCTGGGTCTATCTGGAAGATCAGCTAGTGCTCTTATCCACTGAGCCATGCAGCCATTTTTGATGAGAACTGATAGACTAAGATCAGAAAGGAGAGGAGAACCTCCCCTATCAGTGGACTTGGGGACTGGCATGCATGCAGAAAGGGGAGGGAGGGTGGGATTGGGAGGGGAGGAGGGAGGGACTTATGGGGGGATACAAAATGAATAAAGTGTAATTAATAAAAAATTAAAAAAATCCTTTTACTTACATAAAAAAAGAGTTTTAAAGGAATCTTCTAAGGTGGTAACCTATCTGGCTGAGAGCTTAGGTCATCACTGTTTTGAAGGCTTTACTTTTAATCTAGTGAGCCATAGTCTGATTCCTAGGAAGCAACATTCTCAAAGCATGATGCTATCTACTTTAATAAAAAATAGTTTTTGTACTTCAGAAAGAATAAAAGCCAGGGAGAGTTAGTATCCCCCAACCAGTGCACAATTAGGTCTTGGCTATTAATTTTTATTTATTCTTTATCATACATTTCTATAATATTATTATGATAATATTTATTATATTTGTGAACCTAAAAACCTATTTGGGAAAAATCAGTGAGTATCCCAGTGAGAAATACACTTCCATTACACACTCGTTTTATAAAACAAGAAACATGCTTTTTCAGACCATGTTCTAAGTGCACAGGCTAGGCCTGATGTAGGTGACTAGTTGGTGACTCTCTCACAGTTCATTGTTTTATGATGTTTGCTTATTTGCTTGTTGCTGTGCTGGGCTCCAACCCGGGGGCTGGCATGGGCTAGGTGAGCATAGTATCCTTGAGCTGTATCTTCAGCCCTCAGATTTCCTTACTTGGAAGCCTTTGGTAACAAGAAATTCTGTCCATCATCTCAACAGATACATCTTAAAGTTATTTTAGGTTTAAAGGTTGCATGTTTTAATCCCTGATTTAATATGCAAAACTAAAATTTTAAGAGGGAAGGCAGGCCACTAGTGAATTGAAGATCAACCTGGTCTTATGAGACCCTATTTCAAACCACTCCTAACCCTTACCTCAATGCTATTGAAAATGAAATCGCTCTTTACCCACCTCTTCTATAAAAAGAGCAAAGCCTAGGGTTTTTTGTTTTGTTTTCTATTGTTTTTAATAGCATTTTTGGTTTAAAGGTGGAACTTCACTAACTTCAACATTAATTTTCAGCGTGGCTTTTGTTTGTTCATATGGTTTTTGTTGGTTTTTTTGAGACAAGGTCTCACTGTGTAACCTTGACTGGCTTTAGTGTTTAGAACTCGGTAAAACAGGCTGCCTGAATTCATAGAGATCTTACTGCCTCTGCTTCCCTTGCGTTGGGATTAAAGGTGTACGCTTCCAGGCCAAGCTCGGAATGGGTTTTACAGCACCACCAGGAAGGGGCTGAGGTAGGACCAGTCCTTTAAACATTAAAAATCAAAACAAAAACAAAACCTGAACGAGGATTTCTTTTTATATATTGTTAACAGTTCAGAAACTGAACAACACTCACTTATAAAGTGAGATCACCTAAATCGTAATATTAAGCCAAAATTTAAAACATGAAAATTTTAAAGCTACTAATTTTTTACTCCTCTGTCTAGCCTGTTGAGAAAGGCATCTGTCAATCATCTAATGGCAAGGGGTGAAAAATTCTGTTATAGAGCAATAACTGTTAAAAAATCAGGAAGATAAGAACTGTTCTTTAGGACAGTGGTAAAATAATATTTTTTGCCTATCATTTGTACATTTTATACTTTGCACATTGCTTTCATTATTGAAATAGCAGCAACTTCTAGATAAAATGGAAATAATATTATTTCATTTGATGCTGGCAGGAACCCAGTCGGCAGGAGATTTCTTTAATTTTACAAGCATGGATTTTAGCCATATTGAGTGAAAAACTTAAATCCACCAAGCAAGTAAGTGCCAGAGCAGAAGAGTGCCCACTGCTCTTCCCTGCCACCACGATGCCTCTCTCTGCATCACATGCTTCACATCATTGCCTTTCCTCATCACTGTGGCCGGTGCAGCAGACAGCTGTGAGATTTCCTTTCCCCGGAAACCAGGGCAAGAATCTTGAGAATGACTATCAGTGGCCTGCTGTGCCCCAGATATACAAGGTTCCCATCAGCACAGCAGGTTGCTCATTGTGGTACCCTTATTTTTTTAAAAAAAGCTTAAGTCCAAGGATCCTGGAGGTCCTTCATCTAAGAATAAGCAGGTTAGGTTACCTTGAATTCACTCCTCCCTCAGGAAGATTAGTGTCAAAGGGTTATGCACACTTTGAGAAGGTTCAGCTGAGGGTGAGAAAGGACATCATAAATGTTCTCTTAATATTTAGTGATTCTGAATTACTCCATGGCCTTAGTTTCAAATCATCTTGAAACCATCCATCCATCCATCCATCCATCCATCCATCCATCCATCCATCTACCCACCCATCCATCCACACTCATCCGTCATTCACTCATTTAGAAAATTCATGTTAACATTTGCTTGGTGGTTGGCGTTGTGGTTCATGTCAGGGGTATATGGATAGATGCAGTAATTCACTCCCAGCCTCGAGTAGAATAGAAAGAAATGAATTAGGCATTCAGCTATAACTGTCACTGACAGTAGAGGAGCTAGTGACAGCTGACCTGGAGAAAACTTCTGAGGACATGATGCTTTACCTGACATTTGAAGAGGAATGAGCACTAGAAAGGGATGAAGGTGGTAGAGATGGGAAGGGATCGATAAAACGACATGGATAGGCCCACTTTAGAGAAGGAAAAAAAGGATAGTATGGCTGCAGCATGAGAACACCATAGTTTAGATACAAAATGACCCCCAAATTCTCTCCGATAAAGGCCTAGCCTCAGCATAGCTCTCCTGGGGATGGTTAAATCCCCAAGAAATGGTTGAATGACAGTGCTGTTCCTTGTGGGTTCTGATGTTTGAAAATGTAGTCCCTGGTTGGCAGGTCCTGTTTGGGTAGGTTTAGGAGTTGTAGGCTTGCTAGATGAAGTATGTCACTGGGGCTGGATTTTGAGGTATCAAAACCAAATGCCATATGCTCTCCCTGTTTCCTGCTTGCAGTTTATGATGGGAGCTTTCAGTTTCTGCTCCAGCCATCATGACTACTGTCTGCAGCCTCTTCCTTGCCATGATGGACTTTTAGCTCTCTGGAATTGTAAGCCTCAGATAACTCCTTTCTTCTATAATTTGCCTTGGTCCTGGTGTTTTATCACGGAAACAGAAAAGTAACTAGTTCAGACCTGGTGCTCAACAGAAGGTTTTGAGATGTTGGGAGTATGTTCTCAAAGGGATCCAGACTCGCTTTTTGTGTCCCAGCCAGGAGGTGGATAGCTTTGTTCTGCTCCATTTGTTCTGCTAAGGTCTGTTATCACACCAACGGGCCAATTATTTATACATTCAAATGTGCAAAATCGTGACCACCTCCTCAAGCCCTCTCTGCTTATTTAAGGTGGGTATTTCAGTTGTTACATTAGTTAAAAGCTAATGTGGGGAGTACATTAAAAAGTGAGAAAAGATGAGGCCAAGAAAAGAGTTAGCTAGGACAAGATCATGGAGCCCTTTGTAGACTATGCAAAAGTTTATTTTTTGACACATGGTCTTACTGTTCCCAGGCTAGCCTCAGATTCACAGTCCTGCTTTCACATTCAAAGTGCTAGAAACACAGCCCAGTGCCGCTATGTCTTACGAGCTCTGCGGCTTTGTCCTCGTGGTGGTGAGAAGTATTGCAGCAGGAGCGAGACCTATTTACATATATGGTGTTGATTAATTCTCCTAAGACTCAAGGCATGAACAGTCATACCCGGTCATATGTCTACTTGACAGGCAACTCAAGTGGGTAGTGTAGAGAGTTCTGCAAAATCAAGAGGGTATAACATAGCACATGATTAACTACAGAAGGGATTCTTCTGGTTATCCACTTGA